CGCAGTGTGACGTGTTAAACCGACATGCGCAGTGTGACGTGTTAAGCTAACGTGATATCTTGTCACAGGAACCAGTTTACAGAATGTCATATTCCTAAAGGATTTGGGAAAGACTTGTTTTATGACGCATGCTAACTATGCTACAATAAGAAAAATGTCTTCTAGATAATCTGTCATAAAGAAAATTTATTTTCCAATTTTCTATGCGGCCTTTTGATTGTTTTAAATGTCTTGATGTGGCCCTTTGGGGAAAAAATAAAAAAAATAAAATGTTGCCCACCTCAGCAATAAAGGGTTGAGTGATCTCTTGACTAGCGTAACAATAAATTTATGTAGAATTTCATGCAAAATGGTGTTGGGAAATGCTGTTGGTTTACCTTTTCTTGATCAGGCAACTCCGCTGGGCGCAGAACAGAAATTATTCCCAGTTTAGAACTTCATATGTATTTACTAGGTCCCCCCTTAATGGCTTCAACTCATAATCTAGTACCACTTCAAACTTTGTCCTAACTTTTTTACTTTTAGAGGAAAACCCTGCAGATAAAGTACAGTTTAGGAACATTCTGTGTTCTCTTTGAGTCAGCAGATAATGACTTTGCGGCAGTTTGAAATAAAAATTTATCACCCTCTGAGCAGTTTTCCTCAGACTTATTTCATCTGTTGCTAGGCAACTACACTTTGAGTCAGTATGGATTGGTACTTCCACTCTTAATGTTTAAGCAAAACCCAGTTGGCAGTTCTCTTTCCCTCCAGTTTAGGAATTTAAAAGGAGTGAACTCATCTTTGTTCTCCTCTGATGACGGAACGGTGCATTTCTTCTTTCGTAATTCTGTTTTGTTCACTCACCACTTTTTTTTTTTTTTTTTAACTCGACTATAAATACACCAGTGTGTGCTTTGTAGCTTAGTATGTCCCAAGAGAACAAAGTGAGACTGATTCACAGCAGCCCAGCAGACAGCACGCTCTTATTTTTGCTGGATTTGCTCGTACTTTGATAGTCTTCGAGGTGGGTGAGGAACTGAGAGCTTCAGCGTGTCCTGGGGTTGCGATCGTCTGCGTGACTGCAGCCTATTAGTGCCTCTTGCAGTTTCCGTTTGAGTACGTGGACCACTAAATGTGTTTGAATATGCGACTGACCTCGGTGTGTGTAGCTGTCAGCTTTAATGCTTCCTCTGGTCTTGATTGCCCCCACCAAAGAGATTCTTCATAATATATTAGTTGATGTGTAATATTTATACAGTCAGGGTAGAGACAGCTGACGAAAAACTGCTCTCTGAGCTAAAGAAGGGTTCAAGTCTTTGTGCATGTGAGCGATTTCAACCACGGAAAAAGAAGTATACCCAATTTAAATTTTAGAATTAAACGTATTGGTACATAATAACTATGTTCCCGGTCTTTACCAGGTTCTAAACTTATTTGAATCTAACAATAAGTGTATAAATGCACAAAAAATTGACTATTTCATCATTTATTAAATGAAAAGTCAAAATGAAAAACTAAATCCACCCTTGTTGCTTCTATAGGATTTAAAAAGGGAAGGTAGCAGTCGGTTGCTGCTGATCAAATGTATTGATTTACTGATCATGATGATCAGTGTGAGCACCTCTTATAAAAGCAGGAGTTTTGTCAGTTTGCTGCTCTGGAACAAACTGCTGTGTTAACACAATGCCAAGACAGAAATACATCAGCAATGACCTTAGAGAGATGACTGTTTCTGCTCATCAATCTGGAAAGGGTTAAAGGTCACTTTCAAACCAGTAAAAGTCCATCGTTCCACAGTAAAAGATGATTTGTTAGACAAAAATGCATTGAAGACAGTTGCCAGTCTTTCCAGGAGCAAATTCACCGCAAATTCAGACTGTGCAATACTCTGAGGAAAAAAAAATTCAGAACCTTACAAGCCTTAGTAAGTTAAATGTCATGAAAAATTGAGCAAGTATAGTTTGTGTTAAAGTGTCTCTAAAAAGAACTTGTTTGCAAATTTGCATCTACAAACCGGATTCCAAAAAGTTGGGACACTAAACAGATTGTGAATAAAAACTGAATGCAATGATGTGGAAGTGCCAACATCTAATATTTTATTCAGAATAGAACACAAATCACAGATCAAAAGTTTAAACTGAGAGAATGTATCATTTTAAGGGAAAAATCTGTTGTTTCCAAATTTCATGGCGTCAACAAATCCCAAAAAAGTTGGGACAAGTCCATTTTTACCACTGTGTGGCATCCCCCCTTCTTCTTACAACACTCAACAGACATCTGGGGACAGAGGAGACCAGTTTCTCAAGTTTAGAAATAGGAATGCTCTCCCATTCATGTCTAATACAGGCCTCTAACTGTTCAATCGTCTTGGGCCTTCTTTGTCGCACCTTCCTCTTTATGATGCGCCAAATGTTCTCTATAGGTGAAAGATCTGGACTGCAGGCTGGCCATTTCAGTACCCGGATCCTTCTCCTACGTAGCCATGATGTTGTGATTGCTGCAGAATGTGGTCTGGCATTATCGTGTTGAAAAATGCAGGGTCTTCCCTGAAAGAGATGACGTCTAGATGGGAGCATATGTTGTTCTAGAACCTGAACATAGTTCTCTGCATTAATGGTGCCTTTCCAGACATGCAAGCTGCCCATGCCACAAGCGCTCATGCAACCCCATACCATCAGTGATGCAGGCTTCTGAACGGAGTGTTGATAACTTGGGCTGTCCTTGTCCTCTCTGGTCCGGATGACATGGCGTCCCAGTGTTCCATAAATAACTTCAAATCGTGACTCATCTGACACAGAACAGTCTTCCATTTTGCCACACTCTATTTTAAATGACCCCTGGTTCAGTGCAAACGTCTGAGCTTGTGGAGCTTGCTTAGAAATGGCTTCCTCTTTGCACTGTAGAGTTTCAGCTGGCAACGGCGGATTGTGTTCACTGACAATGCTTTCTGGAAGTATTCCTGAGCCCATTCTGTTATTTCCTTGACAGTGACATTCCTGTTTGAGGTGCAGTGACGTTTAAGGGCCCGGAGATCATGAGCATCCAGTAGAGTTTTACGGCCTTGACCCTTACGCACAGCGATTGTTCCAGATTCTCTGAATCTTTTGATGATGTTATGCACGGTTGATGATGATAACTTAAGTCTTTGCTATTTTATGCTGGGTAACACTATTCTGGTATTGCTGCACTATCTTTCTGCGCAACAATGGTGGACTTGGTGATCCTCTTACCATCTTGGCTTCTGAGAGACACTGACACTCTGTGAAGCTCTTTTTATACCCAATCATGTTGTCAATTGACCTAATTAGTGTTAATTGGTCTTCCAGCTGTTCGTTATATGCTCAATTTCCTTTTTCCAGCCACTTATTGCTACTTGTCCCAACTTTTTTGGGATTTGTTGACGCTGTGAAATTTTGAATCAACTTATTTTTCTTTTTAAAATGTTACATTTACTCAGATTAAACTTTTGATCTGTCATCTATGTTATATTCCAAATAAAATATTGACATTTGCCATCTCCACATCATTGCATTCAGTTTTTATTCACAATTTGTTTAGTGTCCCAACTTTTTTGGAATCTGGTTTGTAGATGAACCACAAGTCTTCTGTAACAATGTCCTTTGAACTGATGAGAGCAAAGCAGAGATGTTTGGGTTTGTGCTGCTGGACATGATCACCTCAGATCAGTGGAAATTCTCAGAGGTGGAGGGTGATTAATTGGGTTTTGTTTGCAGCCACAAGACCTGGGCACCTTGCAGTTGTTGAGTTGACCATGAACGCCTCTGTAGAAGTATTTTAGACTCAAATGTGAAGACACCTATCAAACAGCTGAAGCTTGGACCAGATTGGGTCATAAAACGAGACTATGATATGAAACTCAGTAGAACGGCTGAAAATCAAAAGAACCAACATGTTTCAACAGTCCAGTCAAAGTCCACACTTCAACTTGATTGAAATACTGGATTGATGTAAAGAAGAGTGGGCTAAAATTCCTCCACAACTATGGGAGAGATTAATAAAGTTAGTATAGTTAGTTACTGGTAAAAATGGTTCTACAAGCTGCTGGATCATGATGTGAACTTAGTTTTCCACACAATATTTTTCATTTTGGCCATTAAAAATGTGGAATGTGTGTTTTTGTATAGTTCAGGTAAGAATTTATATAATTCTCCTCTTTCCTATGATTGTGTGTGCACCATGGGTGACCTAACATGTTCATGTTGGGTATCTCATGCTCATAATGTTTTGCAGATGGTTGAAACTATACGGACTAGAAAGCAACCTTGTTTATCTTTTAAACTTTTTATGTTGTATTATTGCAGGTCAAGTCTGCTGATTTAGTTTAAATCAGTTTGCGGTTGTATAAATCACACTTGCAAACGGTATTTAAAGACAACCCCCCCTGTCTACTCAGTATCTAGTATCACTATCTCTGTTCTTCTTGTTCCACAATGATACTACTACTTGTACTGTCCACTGTTGTCGTCATTCTTTTTTTAAAACAGGTCTCTCTTGTAAATGAGTCCTTGAGACTCAATGAGACTAACCTGTATAAATAAAGGTTGAATGAATGAAAAACAATGTGCTCCCACTAATGAAGCTGGGATTGAGGAACCCATCAAGAAATGGCACCACTCTTTGTAAGAATAGACTGTTCATGCCATGCCCAATTTTCTATTTACTGGCCAACTTGACTCTGACTACCTCCCTTTCTGGTTCAGAAGTGTAAGAGCAGATGGATGACCCTATTCCCATGCTGCCTTGATTTTTAAATACATCATATCAAGACAGGAAAAATGCACCATGGGTCCGGATTGAAATTATTTTGCGTAAGCGGATGTTGGCCAAGGTAACTCAGTTGGTAGAGCTGTTGCCTCTCAGCGAGAAGGTTGCCGGTTCAAGTCCCATCTGGGGGCTTTTCTGGAGTTTGCATGTTTTCTCCGTGCATGCGTGGGTTTTCTCTGGGTACTCTGGTTTCCTCCCACAGACCAGAAACATGCACGTTAGGCTGATTGGTAACTCTAAATTGTCCCTAGGTCTGAGTGAGTGAGTGAATGGTTGTTTGTCTCTGAATGTCCCTGTGATGGACTGGAGACCTGTCCAGGGTGTCCCCTGCCTCTCACACAGTGATGGCTGGATATGGACACCAGTGACCCCTGCGACCCGAAAAGGAAGAAGCGAGTGATGGATGGATGTGTATTGACCATCTTGTTATATTGGGAAGACTTTATTAAAAAGTAAACACTTTGTATTTATAGTTAGTGTCTTTTTAAAGGAAGAAAGTTTGAGCAAGCATGGAAGTTTGAAAGACTTTGCTAATCAGGAGCTTTTCCATAACTGAAGTTTTATGTGGGATGGTTTAGATCTTTACTGTTCAGGATGTACAGGACCATCAAGAAAGGAAACAAATCTGTGACAGGCTCACTGATCCATGCATGGAGGGAAGGTTGCCCCATGCTGGACAGTCAAATGGACATTTTGTTTTTTGTGGACTTGAAGGAAGTATTCACGAGTAGTCAGGGTCCATACCTGCTTTAGATATTGGTCAGTATGATTTTAACTTGGACTGCTTTTTCTGCCAGAAAAGGCCAAATGAAAATCTACTCGTGATTCAAGCAGCAGAGGAGCAAAGTTTCAACATAATCTGAAATTTCTTATGGATTCAAGCGAATTTAATGATTTTGTAGCAACAAACATTTGACTTTCATACCACGACTTTCAAACTAAGAAGAAAGAAGAAGCTTTGGGTTGTTGTGCAAATGGTGACTGCACAAAGCTGGGATTTTCCTCCAGTCCTGTTCAACCACAAGTTTAAAAAAAAAAAAAAAAAGTCTTGAAAATGACATGTTGAGTTTGGTATATTTTTCTAAATTAAGACACAAAAGACAAGCATGTGAAGGAAAGGCCTCCCACCCAGTGAGTTTGAGTTCCTTGGGATTTTGCGTATCAAATGTTTGTGCTGTAGTCAAATAAATGCACAACTGTATAAGATAAAAACTAAAGCTGAATTATATGAAAACAGAACCAACAATATGAAATAAAGACATGAATATTTGCAACAATATTGATTAATCTTTGATTTAGTTTTTAACCTGATAAATTGATCTAATTTGTTTAAATGTATACAAAACAATGCTATCTATGCTCTGTAAAGAAAGACGAAATGCTTTTAAAATGCATCTCCAAGGACAAGCAAAGTGCTAATCTGTCTGTTTATGTTGATTTGCTCCCAACAGGAGATCTGCAGACGGCCCGAGTTCATCGTAGACGGAGCTTCTCGTACCGACATCTGTCAGGGAGCTCTGGGTAAGTCCCTGTTGGAGATAGCTTATCTATGTCATGGTTGCGGTGTGATTCTGCTGGGAGAGGAAGAAAAGGGGGAGATCTGGTTGAATTTAAATATGGAAGGCTGTCTGAAGATTGAATCTTAGACAAGCCAGAGTGTTGGTCATGAATAAGTAAAACTTTCTTCTCTTTTTCGCTCGAGTGCTATAGAACACGTCACTGTCGAGACACTGAGCGTTTAATGAAACCGAGGGATGAACATAAACTTTCATCACACTGCTAGAAGTCTAATTTCACCGGTTGTTTTGGGAAATAAATGGGATGCATGTTCTTTCCGTGCATGCATGGGTTTTCTCCGGGTACTCCAGTTTCCTCTCACAGACCAAAAACATTCATGTTGGGCTGATCGGTAACTCTAAATTGGTGTGAGTGAGAGAGTGAATGATTGTTTGTTTCCATGTGTCCCCGTGATGGACTGGAGACCTGTCTAAGGGTGTCCCCCGCCTCCCGCACAGTGACTGCTGAATATGGGCACCAGTGGCCCCAGCAACCTGAAAAGAAAGAAGTGGGTAAAGATAATGGACAGATGGAACAACCAGTTTGCTCGGCTGAAGAGGGGGGCTGCAGCTTTTATTACACCAGTAAAATCGGCCCATGGGGAAGGATTTTCCTGGTTCTACTCCGTAAAAAAAAAAAAAAAAAAAAAAAATCATACCTTTTAATGCTCATCAAGGACTTCTACAAAAGAGAGCCAAAGAGAGGGAAAATGGCAACACAGTGGTGTGATGGTTCATGCTTTCATTTAACAGCATGAAATGTCCTGGTCCTCAGTCGATGGTGGCCTCGTTGAGTTTGTCCATTCCTGTTGTGCCTGCATGATTTGCTTCCACAGCTTAAAGGCTTTTGCAGTGGGTCATTCCCTAGGCTCTTTCACAAAACCATTCCATGAAAGGGCTGCACAGACCAGTTTGTCTTTATGCTGCCACGCCCCGCACACACGTGAGCTTTCAGAAACAAAGCGGAGCATTGCAGAACCAAAAGAGGTGTGGAGCGCAACACTCCAAATGTGATACCTCTCCCTTATGTTTTCAAAACAAAATAGCTCAGTTATCTTAGCGGCTAACGCATTTTAAAAATGAAATCAAAGTTGCTGTGTATTGGCTAATCTTGTTTGGTCTTGACCAGCTGATCACACAGAGCAGATGTCATCACTTCATCACATTATTGAGCCATTTTCACACGTTGATTATTTTGGCTCTGTTACTACCTCATTTGTTGAGCAAAGGTGCCATGTAGCTCCTCCCTCCAGCCTTGGTCCATTCAGAATTCGCACTAAGGCAGACAGATGAAGTTCAAATTCTGAGGTGGCATTTTGTCTTAGATTTTTGAAAAGGTAGGCATCAAATCACTGAGCTTTACCGAAGAAAGTTGATGTACGTCAAGTTGAAAGTTTGACGGTCGCTGCATCGGTACCCTTCAGAATGTCTTTTTAGATAATTTCTAGAGTATAAAAATGTATTTTTATATCTGGTAAATATGCCATTTTTAAGTGGATCTTGTAGGTTCCTACCTTCACCTATAGTAACAAACTCTGGTAGTGACTGAAAGAATGAGATCGTGGATACAGGTGGTTGAAATGAGTTTCCTCTGCAGTGTAGATGGACTCTCCCTTAGAGATAGGGTGAGAAGTTCAGATTTCCAGGAGAGACTTTGAGTAGAACCACTGCTCCTCCACACTGAGAGGAGCCAGTTATGGTGGTTCAGGCATCTGGTAAGGATTCCCCCTGGGTACCTCCCTAGGGAGGTGCTTTGGGTATGTTCGTCTGGGAGGAGACCCCGGGGAAGACCCAGAACACACTGGAGAGACTATGTCTCTCTGTTTGCCTGGGAACACCTTGGGGGTCCTCCCAGAAGAGCTAGAAGAGGTGGCTGTGGAAAGAGATGTCTGGGCCTCCCTGCTCAAGCTGCTGCCCCCGACACCTGACTTGGGAACAAGTGGAAGATAATGGATGGATGAGTGGATCTGATGATCCATTTCTTCAATCGCCAAATGAAATTCTTTACCAAAGCCTCTTACAAGCCGCTTTATTGCAAAAGAATAACCACAAAAAATTGATTAATCTGGAACATTTAAACCTTCAGAAACATTAGTCTTCTCTTGTCTTTTAGACGATCTACCATCTTTCATCGGGGTGAAGTTTATTTACACTGAAGTACCAAAAACAGTGAAGCGATGACTCTCCTTGACCTTTGACGCTGATGTTTCTAAACGTGCTAATACACAAATCGATAAATGGGAATGACAACAAACTACTCCCACTGGAAAGCTCCTGTTTTCATCACTTGAGGCTCAGCGGAGCAGAACTGTCAAACACTGAGCCTGCATGTGTGGCAACACCAAGACCGTCAACTAGAAGATGTAGTTTTTTCTGCAAACATTTTGCCACACATTTAAACTGAAGTGCCTTTTGCAGCTCAAAGCCACGGAGTGAAACCTGCTGTCGAAGTGCTTCAGAGTTTCAGGTCGTAACTTGTAGTCCAGTGCCTCTTTCATTTCTAGGAAGGCAGAGTTTCTATAATCGTGGTTTGAGACTGTTTGCATCAGAGTTTTCATTAATCTTCCTCTTCAAGTCTTTCCAGGCTTTTAGGAGATATAAACATTCAACGTGTCCAAAAATATAAAAATATTTTAAATCGGCGTTGGTGACACTACACAGTCAGATGTAACGCAAGAAGATGTTGAACAATTTATGGGTTTCGCAGGAAGGATACAACTGTCTATTTTAATCTCCAGGGGACTGCTGGCTGCTGGCAGCTATCGCCTCGCTGACCTTAAACGACAACCTCCTCCACCGAGTGGTTCCTCATGGACAGAGCTTCCAGCAGCAATACGCTGGGATCTTCCACTTTCAGGTAGTACTTCCACTTCCTGTTTCCTTATAGCGCAAAGAGGAACCTGAGACATTTTCAATTGTTCTGTGTTGTCATGTTTTTGACTCACTTTGGTATAATTTGCCTCCAATCTGACTATTTTACTTCTGAAATAACTCAAAAAGTTGATTTTTATCCTAATGAGACATTTCAGATATGAACCTTTTCACATAACTCTGCTTCAAATGATCTGATCAGTGACTTTAGTCAAAGATGGGAGAACATCTTGCTTTAGACAAGTGTTCATATTGTTTGTCACTAATGGCCGAGCTCTTGTCCCTCCTGCATCCGTCACTGGCTCTGGCTTTTGTTTCTAAATAAATTAAGAGGACATAATTAGGAAGGCACACATCTGTGGATGGTACATCAGGTCTTACTGCAGATGGTTTCTTTCAGAGCGCAAATTAATCAATTTGCTAACCTAGTTGGATGCAGTGTCTTGATGTGTAGAGGGACAAAACTGTTGGAAGTATCCAAAGATAAGTGCAGTCTTCTGATGAGATCAAATTCAGATTGACTTTGAGTCCTATCAGTGAATATGTAGTGAATATGTTGAGCATGTTGTTTATCATTCAAACCATTTGTTCAGTCAAACGTGCTGAAACAGTCACAGTATTTGGACTCCGTTACACAAGATCTAGGATTTTATCTTCATTTTGCTGCATGAGTGTGTTTATGTGAATAGGTAAATAAAGCCTGCCTTGTAGGGGTGTAACAGTATATGTATTTGTACTGTGACCGTTTGGTATAGATGATTTGGACGAGCGCAGTGAACAGACGTCACATCAGTCACTGGTGATCACTGCTCTTGGAGCAGATGCATATTTTATTGACCAGAAGTGAAGCTGATAAGAATTCTGTTTAAAAATTACATCAGACAAAGATGGTTGGTTCAGAATAACATGCAGAAACTTGAAGACCTGCCTGTTTGGTTCAGATCAGCTGCATGAGAAAAGCTCTTCGGTGCTGACAGACAGCTGCAGCAGAGAAATGAGAGGTGCAAATATGGCAGGCAGTTGTATTATTTAAGCATCGCTTTGAAAAATACTGTAGCACGTTATTTGTACCTTTATTCAACAAACGATATCAAGTCTTATTTTCTCACATTACCACTCAACCTGCTGAGATCAAAGGTTTTATTTTATTTACTGTATACATTTTCAACTTGTAAGATGTTATTCAGGTCTGGGTTTTTATTTTTTATATATTTTTTGCGTTAAATCTGGTTCAAATTAGTGAAGAAAACATTTCCTAGGTTGTTGTTGTTGTTGTTGTTGTTGTTGTTTAAGAAAACATTTTTAAAAAGACCTTTCTGGAGCTCATCAGACTTTCAGTTTGACACATTTTATGTGGGTTGTCCTTTTATAATTCAAACTGGACAAAATACACAGTCAAGTATGTTTTTTTAATATTCTTTCATGGTAAAATACCTGTACCAAACCATAATCCCTCAAACTGAGGTGCATCCAGAGTTGTGACCACACCACCACTAAGGTTTTGCAACGTAAAAATAAAAGCCACCATATTAAGGATGCACAATATTAGATTTTTGGCCAATATGCCGATATGTTAAAACTTCTTTGGCCCATAACTGATACAGATCCTGATATTTTTCCCCTTAGACCAGGAGTGTCAAACCCACTTACAAAAGGGAGCCAAAATTTAAACTTTTTTAAAAACTAAGGGCCAGTTTCAGAAACTACATTAACTCAAGTTAGAGACCCAACATCTTTTCTTGGTTCCTCAACAAGAGCTTGATTGGTCTCATTTGTATTTCTCTGTTGCACTTTTGACATCATAATCAATGATTACTGAAAAAAATAAAATTATAAAAGTATTTTACATTTAAAATAACATCTTGGGGGGTGAGATAAGATGTCGAGGGCCACATTTGACCCTTGGGCCTTGAGTTTGACACATGCCCTAGACCTACTTCCAGAGACTACATAGCTTTCTCTACTGTGGAATTAAAATACTACATTATTCTGCATGGTCTTTGTCAGTTTGGCTTTCTACCAAATGCAGATGCCAAAAAGGAGTCTGAAAATGATGTAACACTTCAACTTGGATTATGTTTAATGTCAAATTTATTCATGACATTCACTCTAACACAATGACAACACTCCAACATTGCAAATTTGTACATTTTCACAAATCTAAACTCAACCTGTTCACAAGCAACAAGTGAAAAGCGGAAAAGTAGTAGTGCAATAATAGATATACTTGACAGTTTCTTAAAAAAAAAAAAAAAAAAAAAACTTAAAACAGAAGTCTTTCATATCTGTGAGTTTGTTTTGATGGAATGGCCGATGTCCGATATGAACTTTATCGCTAATATTGACCGATACCGTGCCGATAATATTGTGCATCCCTACACTATATAAGTGTGGACCATTCAAAGTATAATTCTGTCTTTCTTTGACTGAAAATATTGGTCACAATACACATGGGAAGATAGGCCACACTGAGATGGTTTGGACTTGTCCAGAGGAGGGGCAGTGGGTATACTGGTAGAAGAGGAAAAAGACAAAGAGGAGATGTATGGATGCAGTTAGAGAGGACATGAAGGTAGATGGAGTGAGGACAGAGGATGCAGAGGACGGAGATGGAGGATGACTCGCTGTGGTAACACCTGAAGAGGGAAAAGCTGAAAGAAGACGAGTGGATAAAATAATATGAAAACCATTGTTCAAAGTGTTAATGTCTCTGAACCACCCTGATGGTTAATATTTCTGCAGGGTGAACTGAATCATTGTTTCCAAGAAAATGCAGGCGTGACTTCAGTAGCTTTAGAATCCTTGAAAGACCTGAAATAACCCCACCCAAGTGTACCTCCCCTTGGATCTTTTGTGCTTAAACATTCAAGGTAAAGATTTGGCAAGTTGGAAAGGTAATTTCCTAGAAGTTTTGAAGCTGCCTAACCGGCTTCAGTTGAGGTGGTGTTTGAATACCTACAGAATATTCTTGGAATTTTTCAGCGGTTCTTTGGTAAAGGAACATGACACTCCCAAAACTTTTCTTTGCTTTGTGGTTTTAGAGTGTGTTTGCTGGCTGATAGGACAAATAAATTTATGTAAGATGAGTCAAAACTATTCCAAAGGTCTTTTTTTAGGAGGGGTGAAATTTAGTTTTAAAGGATACAGAAAAAATTCATAACAGAAAATGACAGAATCAATGTTCAGCCAACCCAAAGCAGATTCTCAATGCAGGTTATTCAAAGACTTCTTGAGACGCAGAACAAATTAGTTTGAAAGCTTTTTCCTGAACCCTTTTCTTTATACGGAAAGCTAACGGTAAATATGAGCTGCAGACAAATAGTTTGGAGCTCCTGTTTTCCTTGTTAGGTTTTATAGTGTCTGGTACACGGAGCTGAATGAAAGAATAACCCAGCCGCTCACAATGAAACGGCAATACAATTAACATTTGTCTACATTTTCCTGCAAATTCTGTATGATGGCAAGCAAGTTCACCATTGCAGTTGATGTTCTGTCTTGTAAAACTAAAGAATTTGCAAAATTTCCCCATTTTTTTATCTTTAACATATGTCAACTTTGGCAAAACGGCTTAATTTCCTCCTATAGCATGATGCAAATCTATGCATATTGATGAACAGAACAGCTGAACTGCATCAGCTGTGAATAATGTAGCTCCCAGTTGAACATTTTGTCCAGTTTCTGCAGTGACACTTGACCTTGTATTTCCTTGTTGATCTCCTCATAAACAGTCTGTGTAATTAACAGTGCTCCTTTTCTTCTTTGAATGGTTTTCTTTTCGTCAACAGTAATAGGCCTGTCACGATAACAAATTTTGCTGGGCGATTAATTGTCTCAGAAATTATTGCGATAAACTGTAATATTGTTTGAAATTTGACAATAATTTGTAATTGTCAAATTTCAGAAAAAAGGTTTGTTTTTCATGTAGTACCTTTTTTCGACCACTGCATAGCAGTATAAGACCATTTGAACTGAAGGATGGATAGTGAGGGAGCGAGCAGTGTGTCTGTAAGAAAAATGGGAGGGCGGTCCCTTGATGTGACATGGGCTGTCTCTCGTTCCTGTTTTTCAGTTCTCAAAATGGCGGACGCTCTGTGTGGTTTGAGCTCTTTAGCATAGCATTTTTCACATAAAGCTTTTAATAAAAAAATCTGTAAACAAGTTCTCAGCTTCTTTTGCAGAGAAAAACAACTGGCACGGGTTTCAACCATGAATTTTGGAGCTTCGAGAAGACGGAGTTTTTTTTCCCCGCGGTTGGCCTGTTAGCTTTGCTCGTAGCTTAGCTTCTCAGTTTAGCTGCTTTTAACAATCCAAAAAACGTGATTTTGTACAGTTAAAATTGATTTTAAAGAGAAAGGGAGGGGTCGGTGAAGAGCACCGGAGTCTAGCCTTTTGTCATCCAGTGTCTTCAGTAGAAAGAGAGAGACACGAGAAACGATAAAGCCGATAAATGAAAGGGGTTGATAATTTTAATTTATTATGCGATTAATTGATTTATTGTTTATTTCGGCAGGCCTAAACAGTTTTGTCATTGTTTGGTTGCCCATGTTTGACCCAGCCCGTTGATATTACAGTAATGGTAAGTATTTTGGGATGATTTAAGCTAATTTTGATAGTGTACCCCCCGGTTCTTGGTTTTTCAATCAATCAATCAATTCAACTTTATTGTCCATAACATTCAATGAAATGGAGATTTGTCTTTGACATCTGGCTTATAAAAACAACACAAGATAAAAATGTGATTAAGAAAACAAAACAAAAACAACTACTAAAACAATCTGGCGACAATCTATTCAACATGATGGCTCAGTGGTTGACACCATTGCCTCACAGCAAGAAGACTAAACCACATAATGTACAACCGTCGTTGAAGCATAATTAACATCTTTTATATTTAAGGTTTTACATTTTGCTTAATATAAATTTTGCCTATTGCCTAAAATAAATCAGGTCTTACTAAAATAAAGGTGCCTAGGACGAGCTTGCTAT